GGAAGATGAGAACTGGCGACTTTGTAGTACAACTTTAGTACGCGGAGCAATCTGTGGAGCTGGAAGCTGAGAACGGGTGACTTTGCAGTACAACTTTAGTACGCGGATGAGTCATCTCTCGCGGCTGAGTCATCTCTCGCAGCTGCTCTGGCGCCCCTGCAGCTGAGTCATGTCTCCCGACCACCCGGCTCTCTTAAAAGGTTGACACACACACACAGAGACCCACGCACTGCCTCAACTTACTCGGAGACACACACACAGACAGAGACTCATACACACACAGACATAGATACACACACACAGAGACCCACACACTGCCTCAACTCACTCGACTTAACACTTCACACTGAACACTTAACAGATAACTCACACTCTGACTTCCTACGTGATGAAAAATGCTTTCGGGCCACTCGTCGTCTAGTTTTGAGCCCGACGTTTTCAAAACAATTCCTTCTTTTCATCAATCCTTTTTTTCAGTGCGTCCAAGACTGACCGCCAGTGGAATGCCAACATCATGCCATTCTTTTCTGCCAAGGACGGCTGCTGAGCCTTTGTCTCTGTTCTTCCGTCCGCTAGGCACTGGGGGAGGAGCACGGAAGCTTTGTATGAGGCACTAAGAGCCCCAGTAAATTTGACCCCTGTCTTGATAGGAGTTAGGGGGCCTCTATTTTGGCAGGTGGGTGGGTCCAAAAAAAAACTCTGCTCGATCGCATCACTTGTTTCCAACCCCACCGATCACCAATCCGTGCCCTTTTTGGAGGGAGGCTCTGGCGGTATTCTTGACGCCGCCCAAATCGGAAGCGGCCGTGTGCTCAGCCGGCGCAGGAGACGCAGGCTTTCTCTGTTCGAGGTCGAACGGGATCCCGAAAAGTATGTTAAGAAAGGCTGCCTGCAGAGACGACATTTTTTTACATGTACCTGGATCTTCTAACTATGCCAAATTTCTGCCTTTTGGCTGCTTTTATTAGATGAAAAGGCAGAAGTTTGTCTCAGTTGGAAGATCCAGGTGAATCAATCTTTTGATGTGACACATTTATATAATCTGCCCCCCTCCATTGTTTCCTTGCATTCACTGCCGACGTTCCAGCAGCATTGCACGTTGAAAGTTTTTCAAGGATCAACAAACATGCTGGAGATGGCACCCACCTGGAAATCTGCTCATCAGAACGAACTGGATGTTTCCCCAATCTCAGCCACTTTGTCAAGATCTCACCACCGATGTCCGGGAACCTGTCGGGGGGGGTCCTTGCGGCGTCATCCTGCCAGGACTCCAACTCTTTCAAACGCTCCTGTGGGGCTCTGGCCCCTCCTGGACGCAGGCGACCGCGTCGCGACCGCGGTTGGACGACACGGGTCGCTCTTTGGAGAGAAACGACGTGCTTCCGGCAGAGTTTTTTGTTGGTGTCTCGTGACAGATTTGGGTGAACTACGGAGCTTCCAAGCCCATTCTTTGGGGTTTCCTACTCATCCGAGCTGCGAAAAAGGGGTCCCTTTTTCGTTTTGGCTCTTGGAGCTCCGCATGGCCCGCGCACGGAACCGGGCACGCTGCGCAGGTGGCACGTGCAGGCTGGGGAACCTTTGCGCTCTTGTGGCTGGGACGATCACAGCTGGTACACTCTGACGAATACCTCACCTGGAAGTGGAACATGGCCACTGGAAGACCATTTTCCTTTGCAAGCAGGTGGTCACCCAAATGCTTTTGATGGCTGCATGGCTCCTAGAATTCCATCATCACGAGACCAGAAGTCCTCTCCGCGGCAGCGCTCAGACGCTTGGAGACACCCGTTTCCAGGCCACACCACCAGGCCACATCGCCCTCCCAAGTGACGGTGAGTGGTCCCCCGGTGTAGATCGAAGGCGAAACGGACTCACAACTCCTCGCATGAACATCCCCAAAAAGGTTACCCAAACCGACACCAGAGGCCAGTCAGAGCTGGTTTGGAGGCTCTCCGCCATTCCTTCCTTCCTCCCTCCAACCTCCGGAGGCTCTGGACCGGTCCTGGACCGGCGGGCTCGGACCCGCTCGGTTGGGCGGTCCGAGCGGGAGCGGTTTGAGGTCCGCCCTGTCGAAGGACTTCCAGGAGCTGCTGACCCGCGCCGGTTCGGGTGAGAACACCTCCGTAGAGCACTGGATGGACGAGGAGGGAGGGCACGGCGATGGACTGGGTTGGAGGGGTTGGTTGGAAACAAGCGATCGAAGAGCTAACTTGAGTGATCCCTTTTTGGAACCCACCCACCTCCCAAAATAGAGGTCCCCTAACTCCTATCAAGACAAGGGTCATATCATGTCATATCTGGGCTCTAGGCCTAGGCAGTTTATGGACGCTCATGGGGCACAGATGTTGGATGGCTTGAATCTGGAGTGTTTTTCAAGGCACACACTCTCTCTCTCTCTCTCTCTCCCTCTCGCTCTCTCTCTCTCTCTCTGTGTCTCGCTGTCTCACTCGCTCGCTCGCTCGCTCGCATCTCAGGTAGGCTGGTTGACTCGGTCTCCAAATCTTTTTCGGTGCACAGAGGGCGCGCAGGGCGCGCAGCGTCGGGAAGCGTCCGCCGAGCCACCGTGTTGAGGTGCAAAGGGAGTGCGTGACCGAGCTCGAGGGCATTCTAACGGCGGCATCTGTGCCTAGGATGCGAAGCATGAAGCCCCTCCCTAGTAGCGTCCGAACGCTCCGTTCGTAGCGAGGCCAAGGAGCCCCTCCCGTTCGTAGCGTCCGAGGAGCTCCGTTCGAAGTCAGGCCCAGGAGCTCCGTTCGTAGCGAAGTTTTCAGAAGCAGGTTGAGGATGATTGATCAAGTTATGGTGTACGTGTCCTTTGCCTTATGTATATGCCAATTTTCTGCCTTTTTGGCTGCTTTTTTAGATCAAAAGGCAGACATTTGTCTCAGTTGGAAGATCTAGTATGTATATCTGCAAAGGGGCTTCTTTGTCCTTTAGGATAGCTCTGGAGCTCGATCGCCAATTGGCATGCCTGGCTGCTTGGCATGCTCAGTCCCTCTGTCCGTGCCACTCCCAAGGCCCATCTCAGCGTGAACCGATCGGAGTCGTTGACCTGGCCTCAGCTCGAGCAGCACATGGCCTTGGTCGAGGAGCATGGCCTGCTGGCGCCAAACGCGACCACTCCGTAGGACCTCTGCAGGAAAACTCCCGATGAGGTGAGGGGTTGAGTCCCATGGGTTGGCAGTTGTTGCCTTGTTTCCTTTCTGGCGCCCGAAGGCGGAAAAACGGCGTGGCGAAGAACGAAGGCCTTCGCCGTGTGGCCCATCGAAGACTTCTCACGACTCCTCTCACTGCCACGCCGGCTCGAAGGTGGACAAACCCCCTTCGGTCGCTCATCGAAGGCGTCGGGCGGCAGGAGGTGCTCCGCCAGTGGTCCCGCGCCGCGCTCGCCCGGCAGTTGAGTGCCGCCAGCGTCCTGGCGCTGCTGCTGACGGAGGAGCGCAGCGTGGACTTCTGGCGAAGCTTTGGCTCCACCGGGGACGGACGAGTTCGGACGTCCTTCGTTCGGACCAGGGACGACCGAACCGCGCGGGTGAGTCAAGCATCTCACCTTCAAGCAAAACCTGTGAGTCAAGCTCCCAAATCCACCCAATCCATCAACGAAACAGAAGTAAGGCGAAGAAGAAATGGACATTCCCAGGTTCCGAATTCGTCCCCTTTGAGCAGCTGCAACTTGCGAGTTTTGGCCTGGCCTTACTGAAGGATTCGTAAGAAGCTGAGGATTGGTTGATGCCACCTTGCTCCCGGAGTATGTGGAGCTTTGCTTGCCTCAAGCTACCATGGAAACTGCCACTTGCACCAAGCAGCACATCTGAAGAAGCGATACGGTTTTGATACGGTTTCGATAGGGTGCCCATTTGCCCATCTGCCCATCCCTGATACATCTGCCCATTTGCCGCGGGTGTCTCTCTTTTCGACCTTTGGGGTGCGCAGTCCCGTGACTTCACTTCTTCTCGAGTCTTATCGTGTGTTCTGCAGTCCTTTTCCATTTCTAGAGTCATTTCCATTTTCTTTTCTATTTTTGGTCCACCTTTACCACTTTCCGAACACCCTGCCGTTCTCACAGGTTCTCACCCAATCGGGAGCCTCTCCCAATCAGGAAACCCATCGGAGCGCCTGCGCCTTCGCCCACTGTCGCCGCCACCTCGCGCCGCCGCGGCGGCCCTTCTCGGGCGCCGGGCACGGCGCGAACGCCTCGGCGCGCACGGCGGTCTTCCGTGTGGAGCCGCAGCGAAGTCTGCTGAGCGAGAACCTACGGAGCGGGTGCCGAGTGCCCTGGGCAGAGAGATGGCGGTTTTGCAAGAAGAACTCTTTGGTGTAGGGCCGTAAAGGAAAGAATTGGAGTGAACAATTGGTTTTGGTATGTGGCACGATACTCACTCCTCCGGTTCAGCCAGTTCAGAGTCAGTTCAGCCAGTTACCCTGGGCGATTGCTGGAGAGCTACCCGAATCATTGAACCCGAGGCAACCTTTGTTTTTTCCACAAGGCCCAACCTCGGCTCATGCACCAGGTGTGGAGGTCTGGCACCCCTTCGCCGGGTTTTCTTGTTTTAATCGATCGTTTTCTTGATTTTTTTCCCATGCCTTGGATGCCCCACACGCAAAAGGACCAGAAGGAGACCATCGTTTCAGAGGTCCAAAGCACGGTATATATATATATATACATAGCCTCTCTGGCCCAAAGCCTGGAGGTTGGTGGGTGTCGGGCGCCCCGTGGCCAAGTGCGTCACTCCACCTGACGGCTTGGTGTCGACAAGGGACACCCCCCAGGTGTCCCGCCCTGCGTGCGGGCTACTCGTTCCTTGGTTGGTAGCTAGATCTTGTGCCATGGACAGGTACCTTCATCTTGTTCGCAGCCCGTTTCAGGAGAAGCTCTCAGGTCTGCTGGAATCATTGTCACACAGGTCGAGGACACTGTGTTTCGATGGGCTGACCTTCGTAGCTGCTGAAGCTTGTTCTATCAAGGGCAATATCGTGACGGCAAAACTCGCCACCTTCGCTCCGGGTGTCGGTTTTCTGTTCGAGGATGATGGTTTGATGGTGCAGGTCCACATTCCTGAATTGGATGATCGGGCGATCAACATGTTTGCAGGTGCTCGATTCACATGCTTGGGGAAGCGACTCAGGACTGACGATTCCAAGGAGATTCATTTCGACAGTTCGGTAGCTGTGGGCATTCGGCCCGACCACTGTCAAGAGCTCAGCTGGAACATCGTTCACCAATTTGCCGGGGTATTTTCGGGTTGGCGACATGCCATCAAAGGGTTGCTGACTTGTGACATCCCCTTCAACCTTGCCCAGCAGATCGAGATCGACTCCGCAGATGAAGTAGCCAGTGTTTGGCAGAAGCTGCATGGCCCTAGAGTGAAGCAAGCACCGATTCCGACCAAGGCTCCATGGGATCCGAGTGACTGCATTCATGTGCACTGCCCAGTCAAGGAACCTTCGCTCCTGAACTTGTTTCAATTCCAAGCCAATGTCATCCACACGCTTAGCCCACCATGCCAGTCATGGTCGCGTGGTGGTAAAAGACTTGGACTCTCCGCAATGAACGGTTTTGCGTTCATCGAAGGGTTGCAGCTCGCGTTCGTCTCGCAAGCCCTGCTGATTGTGGGGGAATGCACAGACGAAATTTCGACGCATCAGCACTATGATATCATTTTGTTCCTGGCAGCTCAATTTGGCTACCGTAAGGTGTGGTCTCAGATCACCCCTTTGCATCGGATCTCCCCAATGTCAAGAACGCGTTGGTTGTGTGTTTGGTGCCGTTCTGACGTTCGTGCACTCCCTTTCGATTGCACCATCACTCCGTCAATCGCTCCACACACTGCTTGGCAGGACGATGCCTTCCGCTTTGCACTTCCGGCAACTTGGCAGAATCAGACGCTCTTGAGCGACTCAGAAAGGACCATCTATGGCAGTGTGGACCCAACAAGCGGCAGCAGTTTCGACACACCGCACCCACACAGGTGCAAGTCCTGCAGGCCCGAGTGCCCAAGGACACTGAACCCTTGCCCACTCTCTGTGCGGCGTACACTGAGCACTCGAGGCAAAAGGCATTCTTGCCTCCATTTGCATGCAACCACAAGGGTTCAGCTTTTTCGACCCAGCCCGCTTTGTTGCAATGCTGGGTGCTCTCGATGATGTCACTTTGCCAGAGAAGATTGGGGCCGCCTTTGTTTTCATTGGCAACGCCATTGCAGTTCCACATGCCATTTTGGCACTACTCGTCTCGCTGCAGGCTATCACAACCCAGCGGATTGACATTCTGCAGCACATCAGGCACTGTTGGCTCCAAAAGCACACAGCTCACAACACCGTGATCCTCCACGTGGGCGAATGGATTCACATCATTCACCATGACAATTGCTATCGGTACATTGGCCTCCATCGAACACCACCAGCAAATGGTGCCCACCATGTTGGCATTCAATTTGCCGACATGCACCTCCATCCACAAGGCCTCTTTGCACCAGACGCCACTGTCAGGTCAGTACTCAACCAGCTACTGACGGCACCCAGCCCCATCCTCCCCAGCATCCAGGCGCCAAAGTTTCTTGGCAGGGCACACCATCACTATTCAAGAGGCCATTCAACACTCCCGCACATGGGATTTGATGATTGGGGCCACATACCTTGGACATCTCCACATCCAGGACGCCACTTGTGACCACAACCACGGCTCGGGTGAGTCCCAAATGATCTCTCCAACGATTCCCTTTTGTGCAGACGGTGGGGAGCAAGTGCTGAATTTGCTTCCCCTTTTCCAGCGGGAACAAAGCAGTGGAACTCGGCACCCATGCAACTTTACGGTCTTGGAACCAGCCATTGGACTTTCCTTCGCGTGCTGGATCCCATCCGACTCCCATGATGGCCTTGTGCACTCTATTCGTACTACGTCAAAACAAGTCATCAGCTACTACAAGCAACTCATCATCGGCAGCATGCACTCGGTTGTTGTCTTGTGGCCGGGCACTCATGATGGCCGCATTTGCTTCATCCTACAGCCACCAGACAACATCATCTGGAGTGCTGTCACTCCGCCGCTGCGCCAGGATCACATCACCTTTGAACTGAACCAGCAGCAGCACCACATCCAGGCGACCAACACACTACCAGTTGATCAGAGGTCTGGACCCTTGCACTCTGGCGATGTGCTTCAACTTGCCACCACAGACACCATTCGAGCGGGCGGCCACCACGGAGGACCTCTGCTGGTCCTCCCAGCTGACGCCTCCTTTACTCAGAGAGCAGAGTTCGCAACCAATACCCACGGGTGGCTAGCAGCAGATGAGATGCACTTCATCGGGCAGATTCTGCACTGGACAGTGCCCAATGGGCCCAAGCATTCCGCACCAGCGTATTGGGATACGGAGAAATCCGAGTTCGAGGAAAGTCCGTTTGGTGCTCCTACCATCTGGCTCAATGCCCATACTATCCTGCCTGTGCTGATCGACAACCACTGGTGCTCTTTGGAGATTCACAGAGCCGACTCTGCGGTAGCTGTGACCACCTTCCAAGTCCCGGCACACCTCCATTGCCGAATCATCCTCATCTTGGCGAGGCTGCTTGACTATGGACCGCACCGCATGCTCATAGCACACAGCAGAGATCAACGCACACCGCACTTGTGTGGGTGGCACCTAGTTCACAGGTGGGTGCAAGACCAAGCCCTCCTTGAGACACTGGCCACAGCTGAGGAGAGACCCATCCCTGCTGGAGAACTCCATGACCAAGTCGCCCTAGTACTTCAGGCCTCGATTGAAGATTGGATTGAGGCGGGAGCCGAGCAGCCAGTTTGGAACCTTGCCGCCAGACTTCGCAGGCACTTCTTCACGGTGTTGGCCAACAAAGTCCTCCAGACTGGGGTCACCAATCAGCGGCCTCTGGCCATCAGCTTTCCACCCCAGCGACCACCGCCGGCACGCAGTCCTGGCCAACTAACACCATTGCAGCGACATTGCCACCAGGTCCAGGACAGAATAGTGGAACGGTTGAGACCCATCCAGAGTGGGCGCGCTCTGACGAGATTGAGTTTGCGCTGGAGGGCCCACGATCAATCCAGCCGGAGACTCTCTTCTGCCCACCCGCCATCTGGGACGACACCATGGAGAGCCTGTTCTACTTGAATTCCTTACAACCACAGCTGCAAGCATACCAGCACATTGTGTGGATCGTTGCCGACCGCAATCATTGGATCCAAGCAGAGGCCTATCGATCGCAGGGGCAAGTCCTTTTCTACTTGACGTCACCTTCACGACTTCTTCCGTTGATCCAAGTTCTACGGAGTGCCCTGGGGGTGAATGGACAACACTTTGCCCTCCATTGTGCTGATCAGCCACCTGCGCCCGGCATGTGTGGATTCCAGATTGTCGCAAGCCTGTACGGCCGACTCGGTGTGTCCATGCCACCACTGTCGCCCTCACAAGAACGGGAGCTCCATCCATCGCCATACAGACCCACCCTTCGAACCATATGGGATACAACCAACCAGAACTGGGCCCAGACCCCAGTCATCCCAGGCCTGATCCAGTTTGCGCAAACCTTGCGACTTCTCAGGCTTAGCCGCAACCAATTCCCAGCGCAATATGCAGCAGCGGGCATGGCCCAAACCAGCAGCCGCTTCACAGGCTGCCCAACTGGGACCGGCCGCAGCAACCGACCCGGTCTGGACCAATGACTTGTGTGGAAAAAGGCTGCGCACAAGATGTCTCAAGCCCGCTGGGAGGACCTCCAGTTGCTCGCTCCCATCCCGTTCCAGGGATCTGATACCCGACCAATGTACCAGACTCACAGACTACAGGTCACGCAAGCACGAGCTGGTATTGTGCTCACTACCAAGCAGCACATTTCAGAGCTGGACAAAGTGACTGATCAATTGGAGTTTGCATTGCTGATCCCTACTGTTGATGGCACTCGGCCTGCCAACCTGTTCCAGCCATGCGAGGGGCCTTTTGAGATCACTGTTGAAGATGCCTCATCCAAGGCCATCTACAAGCGACTTGCATTGATGATAGTCCGCAAGGGCAAGATCTCATATAAGCTGCCTGAACCCAAACTGAAACTGCGCACAGCGGCTGTGGCGGAGCTAGTACTGGAGATCAACTCCAGAATCCAAGCCAAGGAGCGGCCACAGCAAGCCTTCCGCCAGTTCATCTGTGACATCAGGCCAGACCTCGAGACCACGGCAACCTTCTATGGCATCCGTGTCACCAGACACCCAGCGGCAGCCAAAACAGATCAGCGACTCCAGTGTATGCTGAAGATCCC